GTGTTCTACAAAGAAACTGAAAATAGCTGGGTTAATGCACAAGTCCCACGCTTTTTCAGATTGCTGCAAATCTCAGTTACGTGTTTAGACTAAGGCAGAAGCTATATCCACCCTGTATCTCACACATATAGTGGGTCCTTTAATACTCAGTGCTAAAAATGCCACACCAAATCAATCACATTTCTCTTCAGAGAAACAATACTGAGCAGGGAGTTTTAACTACAAACTCCTTTCCCACCTATGCCCAGTATGCCTCCACCAGTCTTAGAACTTAGTAGCATCTTTGTAAAGCATGGAAGATCATGAGAAGGAATAAATCTCAAAGAGATAGCAAGAAATTTCTATAGAACATATATAACCGTAATACAAATAAAAATGTCAGACTTTCAGGATTAGCTACAATATATCTGCAAGACAGTGTGTGGTTTCTGAAACAAAAATATATTCCCAAAGAAAATACCATGTGTCCTCCTATAACACCACATGCAAGAATAGTGTCCACACATTCAAGGCATAATTTTGTCAATGGGAGGAGGAAGCATCCTTCTTAGTCTATAAAAATGTAGCTTACATGGTCTCTACAGATACTAAAAACATGTGTTCCAAAAAATTGGCTGTAAAAATGTACCAGGCCCGTGGTCAAGAGAAGACAGATTTCCAAACCTTGATCCAGAGATATATTTAAAATGATAGTTGAAAGTCTTTGCAATGCAGGCTTGTCTGGCTCTGATTTAGTAACCAACACAGAATGAGCCAGAACATTGGTTTACATGCCCAGATGCTGTTGTGGAGAAATACCTATAAGCTAAAGGACATGAGAAAGAAGCAGAACCACCTACTACTCCGCGAGCCTACGAGCAAATAGTGCTGAATTATAATGGAAAACTATGTTCTACATTTCCAAGAAAACACTGACCCAAAATGAGTAAAACTGAAGTTTTCTACATTTCTAGTGAATAGTTTCAGGAAGTGTCTAGAAAGTCACTACAGGCTTTTGAGACTTTGGGATGATTATAGAATTTTAAAAATGCCAACACTCACTCCACCCCCACCACGGGTACGGCTGCCTTCTGTGTGCTGGACAGACACTGGGTACTGTCCATGGGGTCACAAGAGCTGGTGACCCAGGCAGAAGAGAGAGCACACGGTGTCCACTCACCTCACCGACAGTCACTGGGTTTGGATTAGCACCAAAGCACAACCCTTTCCCAAATGTTCTCTGCCCTATGGTAAACCCTGCCACTCAACAGTGAAGCGTGGGAAAACATATAGCAGAAGACATTTCATAGGATCTGCTGTCATCTTCAGTCTTCCCTCCTACTTTTTATTTTGTTTTATTGAGATTGAGTAATATAAGAAAACTAGAAATGCAGCAAAAGATACATTAAAACTAAAAGCGAAACCATGAATTGCTTTAAAAAAAAAATCACTAAAGATACTGCCAATGTTTGGGTGTGCAATTTAATAATTTACGAAATTTTAAAAAAAGGAATTATTTCAAATATACTTGGGAGATACCTTTTTTTCCTTTGTGGTGTTGGAGATCCAACCCACGACCTGGAGCATGCTGGGTAAGCACTCTACCATTAAGCTATACCCCTAGCCCTGGAAATTTAAATATATACTGCTAGGAAGGTTCTGGTAAAATACAGAATCCTCTAAAACAAAGAATGTCGTTCTCCCAAAAGAAACACATTCTATGATCATGGCATACAGAAGTCCTTACTGAGTGCCTTTGATTATACAGAGGTACACAGAGTGAATTCAAATCGAGACTGGGCAGGTGGCAGACAATGTGAAAGTGGAGGAAGCCAACCACCATCACACACAGGTGAACTGGGTGGTGTGTAAGGCACAGGGGCCACTGACCTGCGTCCTTTCTGGAGTCTTAGTCTGGGCTCTCCCAACCCTCCACTGCTACCCCCAAAAAGAAAAACCTGCTTTTCCTCCTAGTGTAGCTAAGTCTGCCAGTTCCAAGGCTGCTCGTCTCATCTTTCCCAAGTGCCTGCATGCCTGCAGCCGCCCTCACAGCCCAAGGTGGGGAAGATGGCCCAGAGCTGATGTGGACGGCAGCCGAGGTGTGTAGGAGTGCCAGAAACCCCTGCAGCCCGGAGGGGAGAGATGAAAAGCCAACCCAGCTTCCCCATCAGCAGCACATCTACCTGGAGAGTTGGACAACCGATGTGGACTCCTCCACAGAGTGGGAGCATGGCAGGCTGGGGAGGACCACATAAGCACCCCGTGCACACCAGGACCACCTGGAACACAGACCCTGCCCTTCCCAGGGGGAGGGCAGAGAACAGCAGACAGGGGAGACAGGCAACATCACAATGCAGGCCATTCTGCCTGAAACTCACTGCCTGTCAGCAGAAAAAAGGCAGCTCAACTAATAAATAGCCCTGTGAGTACAGGTGGATTTCATTTTCTTTGATTCTATTTAGATTTTTTTCCCCATCATATCTTTTTGTGATGAGAGAAAGTGGGGTGCTTAGGGGCAGATAGAGATCCACAATTTAGGCCCGAACAGCACTTGCTGTACAGAAGCCAGACTTCCAGAACTGAGCCATCTTAAGTGACCTCTTCGAGCAAAATTCTCCAGTCCTATCTAGTCCTGCAGTGCAGAGCGGAAGGCAGTGAAATGAATGGATGTTTAAACACTGTGGCTTCTGTAACACAACTGGCCAGCTGGCCTCCACAGTGTGCAAGTTCTCAGTGAGGCTGAACTTACTTTCACGACCTTTTTTGTTTGTTTTTTAAAAGAAACCATTGTGGTAGATTTAAAAAACAAATAAAAATCTTGTCTGGAAACTTGTTTTGCGAGTACTTTTTGCCTCATATTGTTTTTATTTTCATTAACAACATTTTTTCATATTTAGGGTTGAGAAAGGTTTTGTTTTAGCCCTGGAAAGGAGATTGTACTGCAAGATTTTAGGCCTTTGCTCGGTCTCACTAGCCTTAGTCATATCAGACTTGAAATAGACCAAGAATAACCTTCCAGATGCTTTTGGGGGCTCTGGAGAGTTACAAGAATGAAAAGAAAAAACAAAAATAAAAACAAAAACAAAAAAACCAAAAAACCAAAAAACAAAAACCCCAACAACTACATGAGGTTGAGAAACCATACAGTAATTTGCTGCTGAACAGCATGGTCACCAGATGTGACAAAACGCTTTCCAACAGGGCAATTAAAAAACCACGCTCTCTCATCATCCACATAATTTATGTCAGAGGACTACTTTCTTCCCTGCCTTCTTGGAATGCGTAAAACCTTTGATCCTCACCAAACAGAGAGAAAACAAAGTTGCACTTTTTGTTTGCTAAAAATAATGATAGCATAATTAACCAGAATAGAATGATCTTAACTTCAGTGTACACTACTTACACAATATTAATACTCAACAGGTTACTGGTTATCCCCCTAATATTTTCATCACAATCAGTAAAATGCGTGGAATTCTGAAAAGTTGAATAACAAACAGAAATGATATGATTGGACAGAAGGCACAGAAACTTTGGGCTTGTGAAGAGAACCACTATCTCCCCACGTACACAGCTCTGCTTAGCCTGTGTGGACCTATGAGAAGGGACTCCTCAGAATCCTCCATGAGTGCAGTAACTGATGCTGGCATTCTCTATGCCCCATGAGACCTCTTTCCTGCATTTTCAGTTAATTCAGTGATAATCCTCAGGCTGTAGGTGTCCCGTGACTGGATCAGTGATTCACAACTGCATTTAACTTACAGCAAGCAGATATGTTGAGGTCCATGTAGGAAAAAATTATTTGCATACATATGAAAATCAGAAGAAGAATGTTTATTTTAAGATGCAGGCAAAAGGCAAGCTCGAACCTTTACTGGGAGTCGAAGTGTAAATATTTCAGGGATCCCCTAAGATGTCTAGACCAGTATAATAGTCTTCTTTGTTCAGAGCAGTAATTTCTAATCTTAAGATTTGTGACACTCCTGGGTGTCTCCAGATATCTAGAGGCACTATAAAATTCTCTCTACAAAATGCCAAGTTAAATAACTTAAATCCATTTGAAATATATCATACATGTTTGGTGGCAAGGGAGGTTGTCCTGGAATCAAAAGAATAGTCATAAGTATTTCAAAAGCTTGACCCCTGCAGTTGTATTTTAGTCTAAATCAACTTATGAAGAGATATAATAATTACAGAAAATTAAAGCAAGATGCAATGGACTGCACGTGTGGTTATATGGTTGGAGATAACAGTTAAGAGGGACACAGTTTTAGTTTAAAATTCTTCTTTGACTTTATTACTGATAATTGAATTAGCATTGCCCAGCAAGAGGAAATCCAGTGGTTAATTCTTCCACAACACTCCACGGCAGGCAATGTAAGCGTTAACTTAACTTTGTCAGCTTTCCTCTTAGCTTCAGACTTAAAACTACTAACCCAAGGCCTTGACATTAAAAGAGGGCTTATATATCACTGATCTGCAATATCCAATTCTTAATTTCCTTGGTCACCAAGAGCTTAGTGACTAACACACCACTGTGAGTTTGCCATTGGGGAGCGTGGTTTATAACCATTATTTTTACTATAGCTTCCAAATCTCCAATAAAATGTTTCCTGATGGCTCACTGCCTCAGGCACCACAGCTTGTTTTATTCAGAACACCCACTGCAGTCATCTAATGGATCTGAATGTGGATTTCTTCAGGACACACATACACACATAAACACTCCAAAGACAAGGCTCAAAAAGATCACCCATTTTTTCACTTAACAGGCCTATAATTCTATCTGGAGAACTCAATTTTACTGTTTACTTTCTATTCTTCATACTATTGCCAATTTAAATTTAAGCTCATATTTTACGTATCAGAGCAAGTACCTCTTGAGACTTTATCAATTGTTATTGCTTTCCAGGAAGACAAAAAAAAAAAAAGTTCCTCTACGTTATGCCTCTTCTACCAATTTCAAGAATCAAAACTTCTGACAAGTATGAGTAGAAAGCAGAAAAAGAAAATGCACTTGCCTTATTTGTAGCAGTAGCACTGGATCCAGGGACCACGGGCACGTTTGTCACTTGAACCGAAAGATGATTATTATCTATGAGTGGCCAGGCCCCTTCCACTTTGCATGTTTGAAAGTGATCCTTGAAAGTTCTAAGGTGAGGATCTCCAAACAAGCCACAAAACAGGTAATTGGGAGGGCTGTGGTCCCCGCCCCTGTGTTCTCTGACTCCTGCGTGGCTATGATAGTTACAAGGGTCATGGGTCACTTCAGGGTTGGTAGACGACGTGGGTCCGTCCTTGGAGCAGTTCCTCTGGCTCATGAGGTCACTGATGCCCAACACAGCAGAATGGTACACCAGGTTGCCACGGCAGGCCTTTGACGTTCGCTGGGTGCAGCCAGAATAGGCTCGCAGTGCCTTGCAGAACTCAGAGTCAAAGCCGTCAATGGCAGAGTTCAGGTGCGAAGTCAGGGCTACAAAGTCCGTGGTGCATTTCTGGATTCGACACTGGGCCGGCTGTTGGCAGTCACCTATGGGAAAGAAAATAAGACCAAACATATAAACGCTTCATAACTTCCTGAGCCAAATGAGAAAATGACATTTGCCTCTGGGAGCTGTTGGCTCTATTTCATATTCTTATTTTAAGAAGCTTCAGAAATAGGGTTGCATTGTGCTCCCGGATGTTTCTCAAATTAAGCCACTAGGAAAAAACACTGTGCCATTGGTTAACTTAAAACTTCAAAGCATGAGCCATTGTGAGTGAACATGGCAACATTACAAGGGAACAGTAAGTGAAATATTTTATCAAGGTTGTTATTGGTTATAGATCTTGAGAAAGATTCTTCTGCTCTAAAGCTAAGCCAAAGATATGAACTTTGTTTTGATTTTGAAAACTGCATGAGTAATTTGTTTTGGAAAGCACTTTATGAGCAGCACTGTGCACAAAACCAAGATTAAAGCTTCCATACCTGAGGTAGGGGTAAAATCCTAAATTATAGCATGATTAGTTAAAACACGTTTACCCAATTTTAGTATGACTACAGGGTAACAGTAGCACAAAATCATCTGGGTACTAAGTTATTCTACCCTTCCTGAGGCAAGCTGTACATAAATAAATAGAAACAAGGTCCTAGTTTCTACAAAATGTAGAAACTGTTAACTTACTTGACTGAGAAACAAATTTACTTCTCCCCTAATAGCCATCTGTTGCCCTAAGGATCCCAGCTTTCAAACACATAGCAAAGGACAAGTGCACTAAATTTTAAAAGTACACAATGCCGAATTATGATGCAGAGACGATCCCAGCCACGTTTCTTTCAGAAACAAAATCAGAACTATAAAGCATAGAATTCCTTAAGAGTACATAAATCTTACTCTTTCCCTTAAACCAACAACTCATATAAATCTAATAATTTAAACAAAGCTAAAGTAATGAAAACTCAAGAATTACTGCCTTGTATTTTTAAAAAATTAATTTTCAAATTATCTTTTTTGTCACTAGCTTCTCAAATGATAATTTATAAAATCTCTCAAAGCATACATACATACACCTCGTAAGAAATGGTAACACTAGGTTGGTTATGTGTGTCACTCAACTTACTATTCTGCTACATAAGTGGGAATAAAAGACTTGCCAAAAAGAGAAATACTCTTTTATCAACCTCAAACTCCAAAGAAATCAATCATAACATATCTTTGTGTTGAAGTTCTCTATGGGTCTGTGAAAGCTTTGGAGGAAGACTCAATCTCTTTTAGTCTTAGGTTTCTCCTCTGAGAAAGAAAGTGGTTGTTCTAGATGAGCTTTGTGATGACCCCTTCAGGTTGTCTTATTTGTACTCCAGATCAGCTGAGTCCTCAGCCCCACCCTCCCTTTCTTATTCTGACACAGGATCTCATTATAGCCACTCAATTGCCCAAGCTTAGCACAAACTTGAGGTGTTTCTGCCTCAGCTTCCCATGGGGCTGGGATTACAGGATTACAGTCACCATATCTGACTAATTATTCTTAAAAATACAATTATTTCAAGATGTGAACACAAATTTCAAGGACATTATCAAGATTTAGTACTTCATCTGATAAAGACACAAGATATTAATATTGTTTTAGAAAAATGGTTTCCTAATTTTAGTAAACTGCTTTTTACATCTGAATTAAACAGCCTGTAATCTCTGAGCCTCTACTTGGGAGAGAAAAAGTGGGAGGTAACAACCTCTAAGGATAATTGTGCTACCACTGTGAAATTTCAGAGACCAAAGAAGGAGACAATGTAGTCTACACTGTGTATTCATTTTAACCGGAGATATTAAAGTTATTTTAGTATTTTGGAGCTATGGATTTAAAGCAGTCACTAAACATTTTAAAACCATCTTCACAAGTTTCCTCAGTCCAGAGTTGACAACAAGCCACTCCAACATTTACAAGGTTCTGCTCTCCAAACCAGGTCATTTCTCAGTTATTTATATTTTCTTACAGCAAAAAACAAACAAAAAAACAAACCCCAAACCAAACCACATTCCAAAAGGCCCAAAAGCCATTTCACAGATGGGAAAAATCAAAGCAAAGAGCTACCAGAGGTCTTGTCCGAGTTGCATCTTAAGCCAGGACACAGTGACTTTCCTCAAATATTATTTCTTTCCCAATGCGTGTCCTGTCTCTCAAATACCTGGCTCTGGCAACACACGTACTTGATAGATGAAAAAAAGACTTGTATAACTATTGCACTGCTTTTCTTTTTATATCAGATTCATAGCAAGTAGAAAGCAAAACGTAAAACCAGGACCAGTATCACCCAGGAATGAACAGTTCTACAAATAAATGACAGCATAAGAACTTTCCACTAAACTCCAAGTGCTACTTGTCCTTTTTATGGTCTATAAAATCTATCCAAGCGTACGTTTACTTATAATTATTTCAAATAGTCATAAAATATCAAATGTAAGAACAGCATGGTAATGCAGACATGACCAATCAGAGGGGAAGGAAGCAAAATTGAGATTCCTAGACTTTTTCCTTCCCTCTACTTTTCCATTTTCATAGCAGGAAGGTGCTGAGAAATCCCTCAAAAACACAACAGAGTCCTTTTGCTTCCGGCAGTGTTTCTAACAGCCTTCTTCTATGAAGATGAAGGGGGAGGAGGGTGAACTAGAGAGAAAGTGCTTTTGGATCAGCAATTTCTGCTCCATGGCAGGCTCCTGTATAATGACTAATTTGTAGCACACACCCAGAAATACCAGGCCTCATAATTTATGACAATGCACACTTCGCCTGTTACAGGAGGTAAAGTAAGCCTCCTGTCAAAGCGCCAAGACAATGCAGAGCGGAAATAATCTCAGGGACACAGCCAAGAAGACCATGAAGTATATGAGTAAGCAAGTAATTCCCACATTCTCTCTCTATACAGTAACTGCAGAGATTTGCTTAAAATAAAACAAAGTAACCCAGTAAATACGTGAATGTTTACATAAATAAACAAAAGCCATTTCCCAAGGGCAGAATTCAAAATCTGCAGTTATAGATTTCTCTATGTCAGGGTCTGATAATCTATAAGGGTATGGCAGCATTTTCAGGCTAGTTATTGAAAATGCCGAAGGATTTGTGAATCTAGAGCTTTCATTTCATCCTTTTTTTAATGAATCAGACATAAAGGCCTCACCATTCAGGGCAGTTTCCTCAACACCAGGACTGCATGTGCAAATCTGCAGCACAATTACCAGTTTATAATAAAAGAAACGAGCTATGCTGAAGCTGCATGGAGTGAAGTGTGGAGCCACATGGGATGCAGAGACGCACGATACGGATCTCGACATAAAACATACAGTAGCCCATCCGCCAAGAGCACTTGCCAGGCTCACCTCTCAGGAAACAGCCCCTGCATCTCAACAGTGCCGCTCTTCAAAGAGATCTCTCAACAGGAGCCCCCTTTTCCTTTAGGAGATCAACCGCTCCACTCCAGAAGTGGACCCCGGAAATGAAAGCCACAGCCCCCTTGGGCTGCATCTAACGGTGATATTAGCAAGCACACACTGAGATGCCAGGAGGGGCTTAACGCTCCAAATTCTTAACACACTTTAAACTGAGGCAGCTTTTTCTAAATCTTTAAACCGATTTCTTATGCCTCTCTCGGGCAAAGAAATCTTCAAGAGCTACCGTCCAATCTTGTCACGAGACCCTGTGGCAACCCTGGGGAAACAATATCCGCCCAGCCAATGGGGACACAGTCAAGCTTAGCACTTCCAATTTCCATTCTATCAAACACACATTTTAGAAACAGGACAACTGCTTCACACAAAACACTTTCGACTACACCTTTTGGACCGTGAGGAAAAATTTTCCATTAAACTGATCGTAGGTGGATACTTAAGGTTTTAAAGCTACTAATGTAAAGCCTTAATCATCCTTAAACTATTACACTTCTTGTCTGTTTTCAGAAGTGACAATGTTAAATGCGGCTGTTACATCACAGTGCAAAGGTAGAAGTAAATTAAGTGGTCTCCTTAAATACCACACGACTCCCATTACTCAAACATGCTAACTACAGCTAGTACGATCTTACATTAACTAAATAATACGTGAAAATTTCTCTGCACAGCTGGGTGGCGTTAAAGTTTTGGATTCTCTAGTTCAGAGCTCTGTGACTGCGGTCGTGTAAAAAAAAAAAAGTCATCTAATGCTCTCGCTGTTCTCACAATGAAAGACTTGGCATTACAGAAAAAGTCTTTGTCTTGGCAAACTCCTAAAATTAAGTGGCCCTTTATTTGAAAAGAGGATCCTGGATTGCAATGAACTAGTCTGCTTTTTTTTTTTAAAGATAAGCTGGTAACGCTGGTTAGCAGGCTCCCTTCGCTCTCCGGGGACCGAAAACACTCGGCAGTCCCAGGTGCCGCGTCGCGGGGGAGGCTGAGCCCAGAATTAAAACCAGCCTGGGCCACACCGAGAGACAGCCCGGCTCAAACAAGCCAAGTTACTGCAAGATGAACCCCCAGGTGTACAAAATGGGGAAAAAGCTTTCCACCTGGTGCGACGCCCTCGCCTCGCCACCGCCCCAGCCCCCGCGGAAGCAGCCAGGCTCCGTCTCCCCTCCGAGGCGGCGGCGACCCGATCCGCCTTTCGGTAAACACCAAGGCGGGAGCAATAAAGCACCCGGAACATTTGTCTCGGGAGCGCGGCCCCGCCCGGGCATCTTTGATAAGCGGCAGCGGCCGGGGACTTTATCAACGGTTCCCGCCGCCGCCCGCCGCG